AGCTCAGGAGCTAATTCTATATCGCCTTATGCATTATATAAGCATTAGCTTATAAGCTAACGGTCTATCGCCATTTACAATGTACTAGCTTGGGAGCTAATGCTATAGCACAATAAAGATTATATATGTATTAGCTCATGAGCTAATATTATATCACCTTATAGATATATGTATTAGTTCATGAGCTAACACTATCTAGCCCAAGTACATTCAGGCAGGATAGAGTTTGCACCAGATAACCTAGTAAGAGTCAACACTTACCCAGAATGCTTTGGGGCATAAATTATTTTTTTATTTATAAAAATTACACAGTCTATAGTATTTTTGCAGTCTAGTTCTAATAGTTGAAGTAAATAGTTATCAGATGTCTAACATTACAACTAGTCAGCGTTAACTTCATAGTGTATTTCAGTAATGATGTCTACTGACTCCCTAAATCATGAGTCAGCCATTTTGTCGCTGTGTTTTTAAAGTGTAACTATTTTTTCATCCATTGTGTAAATGAACTTTATGGAGACAGATGATGCTAATTACATTTTCTCAGTCAAACCTAGTAACATGTTTATTTACGCGACAACTGTTCGCGTAAGGATGACGTACACTGCATCCAAACAGTGTTTTAAAGACGTAAACGCTGCATCGTTCCCTCTCCMCAGCAGTCTGCAGCTTACTGTGTCGTGACCACAATGTGGTGAGGGAGCGAGTAAACACTCAGTGGGGCTGGAGTTTTAGTCGTTTTGGTCAAAGCTTGAAAATTAAATTACATGTGATCTCATGGAACAACGCAAAGTGTCTGATTAGTATTCTGTGTGGTTTGATGAGAAAAAGCTGAATCTGTGAGTTGACATTTCTGTTCCTGACTCGTCCTGACAGCAGACGGAGTTATGAAAGTGTGGTTTGATGCTCTGCGAGTGAATCATCAGATGTATTGATCAACTACTCAGTGCCTTCCTGTGTTGGGCCTCTGGTAAATAATYCATAGCTCTTACAGTGAAAGGCCCTGAGCTAGTGATAAACTGTGCAGCCTCACAGACAGGAATCAGGCCTCACATCTTCAGCACCCTGCGCATTAATTGAACAAACGAGGCAGATTATAATCCCGGTTAGCGTTTCAGTTGCTCGATGGTGACTTTACAGAATGCAGCTCCAGCTGAGGACTGATGTAAAAACATGTAGTATTACATTTAATCCTAATAATGTGTTCTGTTTGGTTCTGCAGCCTTAAAGATCCACGTATCCTCAGCTACCAAAGAAGTGCTGGATGAGTTTGGTTACTTTGACCTTCAGCTACGAGGAGATGTAGAAATGAAGGTACGAACCTGTTTTTAAACTCTCTTATATCACAACCTGTGCAGTACAGTTCAAGTGATGTTCTGGTTTAAAAACTCTTGAAGGAAGTTAATCAAAAAATGTCAATAGCTACGTACATCAAGTAAAAAAAGACAAACTCTACTTTATGTCCCCGTCTGTCTGCAAATAAAAATAACTTTCAAATTAATAAATTACAAAATAATACTAGTTTCTATGGATTTGTGCAATTATGTTTGTAAAAAATATATATAAATAAAACCAATTTTTTAAAACTGAAAGAAACATTTCAAAATAGAAAAAAAAATTTAAACAAAAAAGATCTGAAACTGATTAAAAAAAAATAGTTTAAAAGTACTTCCATCCATCTATACCCACTTCTTCCTTTCAGGGTCACAAGTACTTGTATCGTATAATTTATTATGTATGGCATGCCTTTGTATCCTATAATTAACGACGTATGACAGGCAGTTGTATCATTTAATTGGCAGCACGATGGATCAGTGGTTAGCACTKACGCCTCACAGCAAGGTGGTCCTGGGTTCGATCCCCAGTTCAGACCTGGATTCTTTCTGTGTGGAGTTTGTATGTTCKCCTSCTGGGTTTTCTCTGGGTGGGATTTGCCTGGTTAATAAATAAATAAATAAATAAATAAATAACAAAGTACAGTTCTATAACCATTCTGTTCTTTTTAATGATCAATTTCTGTTGCTATTTTTAGAGTCCTGCTTCTCTCAGAGTTAGAAATACCTACACAAGTAAATACATCAAAACTTGTTTCAGTTGCGATACATTATACAATGTTTAAAACAAATTGGCAAAAAAAAACTGCGAGGAATTTACACTTGGCAGTAGATTTTGGCAAAAAAAAGTGCAAAAACTAAGCCGTCATCTTTACAGCTCAGATTTATTTCATTCAACTCAAAAATCATCAATTATTAGTCATGTGACTTGAGCCCCCCCCCCCTCTCTGATTCACAATTTTCACATCAAAACAATACAGAAGCAAGTTTGCAAAACAAAAATGCATGAAATTACACAAATTAAGACATTTTTGAAACTGTTGCAGTGACAGTGTGCCGGCGTGTCGTTCTTTCAATCCAGCATAAACTCTCAAGTTAAACAGGAAGAGGTTTTAAAGTGGAGTTTCAAAGCAAAAGCTCCCTGAAACTCAGTAACGCTCTGCCTCCGTCATGACTAATTACACAAAAAAGTCCAAAATTACTAACAGGGCTACAGAAAAGCTAATGAAYGCTGAATGTCCTCTGAAACTTTCTAGTTACTGTTTTACTCTACATTAGGACTAAATGGATCACTGGAAGGCTGATTTTAACAACCTGGGAGGGGAAATCAATATGTTTTAATGAAACAGCTTTTAGGTAAATAACACTGAACCACATGATGCAGAGACAGAACTCCCCTCAGCAGATTGATCAGAGGATTTTTTTATGCCTAACGTGTCGTCTGTGGATAAAAATGGAGGAGTAACATGATCATCCCAAAAAGGCTCTAGTGTCGCCCAAAAACAGAAACCAGTATCCATTTCCTGTCCCCGTCCACTGCCTTCCCATTGATGAACTTATTGATTTTTGTGTTTTTTCTTTTTTCAGGGCAAAGGCAAAATGAGAACATATTGGCTTCTTGGGGAGAAGACTGATGTGTACGTTATCTGAGAGGCCTGCTGACCACGTGGCAGGAGCTGCGGAGCCGCTACTTTATTTGTTCTAGAATAAGTCCTTAACTGTGATTTCCCTGAAAGGAGACGTGAACGACACCCTCACGAGATTTAAAAAACAAGGAAACTCCAGGTATATTTATTACCTGAATACTGGAACTGACAAAAACTGAAAAAAAAAGTTGTTTTTTGTATGAAGAGTCCTGAGAGTGAGTGATTTTCACGGATAAATTCTTATATTTTGTGCTTTCTATAATAAAATTTGTATAGCGTGTTGGAAGTCAACGATGTGTTGGCATTTTTCGAGGCATACTTTGTTTGACGGCACACGAACAGCAATCATTGTTACTGCAGGGGTTCATCCACCATCTAACACAACACACACGTGTGTAAATATGTATATCTAAGACACTGTAAAATATTTTGTTCAATAAACTGAGTGAAACACTCTTTTCCATTTATTACACACTGTTTGTGAATGTATGGGTTTAATTTGTGGTTGGTTTATGGAAAGGTTTTATTTTAAAAAGGTACCAGTGGATAAAATCTATAAAAAAAAGTTTTAAAGAAATATTAAATAGCTCAAAATTGCTCATTTAAAAAGCAAAGTGCAACAAGCTTTGCAAGTATTATAGTGTACCTGTAAAACTAGGATCTACTGTCAAAATACACACTTTTTCAGTGTTTTGATTAGAATTTTTAATTTTTAACACATTTCTACATTATTGTAGCTTAAACTCAGGATGAATTTCAAGTTAATCACCTACTTAATATGACCCCCACCCCCCCACACACACACACACACAAACAAATCTACAGCAAAGGACAGCAGGAAAAAAAAGTTACTGAGTTTACAGTGTAAACTTGGCTCAAGCAATGTGTGTGGTTTCACTGTCTGTTAGTAAAATATCTTCTGAACCAATGGACAGATGTTAATTCTCCCAGAGTAATCACTGGGTTGAACTCAAACACAAAAAAGACAAACACAGTGAATTTGACAGATACTAAGCTAAAATCTGGTGTGTATAAGTGTGTAACTGAATTTTGTTTCCTTTTTAAAACCTTTTCTGGTATAAAAACCTACTTTCTACAATACTGGAAAAAAAACTTGCCATAAATTCACATTTTCCTCCCCATCATCTAAACCAGGTGTGGTATTACTGTGAGTAGTACTACATACAACCCACGCTACACAAACAAGTTGGAACAACAAAAGCCATGTTTCTATCCAACTGTAACGCAAATTTTGAGCAAACCTTTAAAAAGAAAATAAAACTAAATGTGAATTAGGTGTGTTTCCATGTGCTGGTTGGATGGAACCATCCGTAAAGCCTCATCACATCAGACGCTAACGTTACGCATGTTTTTAATAAATTTTCAGGAATGTGTGGCTGTGGGTTAGTTTGTAACTGTTCTGTCATATCAACCAATGTTACACGCCATCAGTCCACTCGTACCTGTTGATGCTTCCAGCCATGTTTTCAAATGTTGTGTGAACAACTGGAAAGACACCAATGGCAGAAACAGTGTGAGGTAAACGTTCAGAAYATGGCCAACATGTGTTTCTATCTCACCTTATTGTGCATCAAGTCTTTTTCAGAAAATCCAAAAACCACCTCAAGCGAGCGTAAAAACATTTTTTAAAGTTTTTTYGAATTTTACTATTTCAATCAAACTTTTCTAATGAGATAGATAAAAAAATGTTGATGGAAACAGCTACAGACTGCAGAGCAAAAAATAAAGAAAGTGTGATTTGTTTTGCATTAAAATAAGTCCATAAAGACACCTTCAATTAGTCCTGGTAACTAAAATATGATGTAATCATCCTAATCTACTGTTGGATTAAAGTTTTTTAACAGGTATGTTGTTACAAGTTTACCGTTTGCCTCTGACCACTGCTGCAGTGCCAGGAAATCCCATCATATAATGTTTCACCATCATCGTGAAGCTTGGGGGATCCCCCTTTTATTTTGAAATATCATTCTGAAGACAATAAACCTCTGTAAACAAAACAAAACAAAAACGACTTTATCAAGTCCAGCAGTCCTTCTGGGGTTAAAGCTTCAGGTTAAGGGTTGGGGTTAGGCTACAGAAATGAACGGAAGTCAATACACGGTCCCAATAAGGCTAGAAATACAAATGTGTGTGTGTGTGTGTGTACACACACGTAAACAACAAATTTAAATTAAAAAGCAGGAAAAACGGGTGAATTTCATTTTGAGACGTTAAGTACAAATTTGCTCCTGAGGCTCCGTGATTCGGGAGCAAATTGGTTTTCCTGTATCGTCCTGTGAAGATAATGAAATGTTTGGAGAGGAAAAGCTGCATAAATAGAAACTAAAATTACTCGTCACCATAGCGACCGCCTGCTAATCCCCGCTGAAGGCTCAGAAAGGATGAGGAAAGGCCTGGATGTGCTGTGATTGACAGAACATGTGTGTATCTGTTGTATCTAATGATGACGAGGCGCTGATGAGATATTTATCCTGTGAAGGAGGGAAGTGGAGCTTTTTGACTCATCTGGATTTAATTAGTTCAGGAACAACTGCAAACTTTTAGCTACAGATTATTACCAGCCGCCACCATGAAAGTGGGAGCTCCTCTGTTAGTAAAATATCTCCTAATCCAGTGAAATGCTGGCTTATTTGCTAACAGAGTCACAGAGAAGCACCTGTCAGACAGGTAAGACCTGAACCAGGTACCACAGGCAGAAGGATGGCAGAGCCTCCTGAATCTGTCGCTGATTAAAGTTTATAAAACCTTTAAAGAGCAGCAGACTGTTGTGTGAATTTAACAATGCCTGCAGCTGCATCAGCAGAATTTATTTTTATTTTACGACACGCTTCTGATTAGCCACATTAACACTTTGTGTCGGTACAGAAGGAACTCGCTCACTGCGCTGACAGAAAGGAGCTCGGATGAAACAGATATTTATGAACAGCATAAAACAGAAACGCTTGTTTTATTGGGCCGTTTGTTTTAGATCTCATGTTGGCATCAGAACATCAGCTGAGTGTCGGAGGTTTTGTTGTTGTTTAGCTTYGTTTTGTCTGGAAATCCATCTTCAGCTAAGATTAATCTCCTTATCAGTACCGAGCCTTTTAYAAATGTCTGGAAGGTGCCGTATGTCTCCATCTCCATCTTCAGCTGCTTGTCTGCAGTTGGGTCACAGAAACCACAGAACCAGGAGAGAAACCCAGACCTCCCTCTACCCAGCGACACTTCCAGTGAGTCCTGGGGGATACTTAATCCCTCCAGTCCTGGGTCTTCCCCGGGCCTCCTAGCAGTGGGAYGTGCCCAGAAAACATTTAAAGGGAGGAGTCCTAACAGGTGAATCACCTGAACTGACTCCTTAGAATTAAGAGGAGCAGCAGAATCTACGTTTTAGGCTTTAAATATATTTTTTTGTGGACTTGGAGTCTCTAGGAGGCAGAAAAGTTGTCTCWCCTGGTTTCAGTCAAATTTTTCAACCCGTTCAGTTTTCTCTATTTTCTGAGCTATGATATAAAATTATTTGCGACGTAACTTCCTGGTCTTAAGGTTTAAGGTCTGGACTTACTAACTACAGTTTGGTGGTCTTCACTCTCCTCTGGTTCTGAGTCAGACTCTGGCTCCAACATGTAAGGCTGGATGGACAAGTCTTCCCTTCTTGACATCTTTTAATTAATTTGTAAATAAAAAGTTTCTGCGCAGCTTTATAGTCATAAACCCCTCTACCAAACTAGAATGAACCGGTCTGGAAGCTGGAGGGGGGCGGGGTTTGAAGCGCCATGTTTGGATTTAAAGTAGACATGTGACGCCTTTAAATCCTTCTTTTTTCATATTTAAATCCTTCAGTTGGGTCTTTATAAAGTGGAACTGCAATACTTTGGTCTGAATTCCTCCTTATCCTGTTTCACCTTTTTTCTGCTGTGTCTCAAAGCAGCTGGTTTTTGTTACTGTTCCTTTGAGACGCTTCAAGCTCCGCCCCCTCCTGCTTCCAGACCGGTCCACTTCAATTTGAGAGAAGTTGGTTACATTTTACAGTGATGCAGAAACATTTTATTTACCATTTAATTAAAATATGTCAACAACTTCTTAAACAGTAAAGATACATTTTCTTCTTAATCAGATAATAAACAGAATAATCTTCTTTTTATTCATAATTTTATCAATGCATAAAAAATAAAATTATTCCGTCTCTGATGTCACAGAAAACTGAACGGGCTGAAAACTCTGACCCAAACAGAACATAAAGATGTCTTTGCAGCACCAGGAGAGACTAAATTCAACTTTTCTGCCTTCTAGAGACTCCAAGTCCACAACAAAATGCATTTAACAGCTAAAAGGTGAATTTTGCATGATATGTCCCCTTTAAAGTGAAAGTGACAGCCTCAAAACGAGTTGATATGAGACACACCTCAGCAAAGGGGCGGGGCTTGTGTAGTTACAATAAGGAGGAGTTCAGACTAAAGTGTTACAGTTCCACTTTATAAATTAAAAAATGGATTTCAAATAGGATACGTCTCCTTTAAACCATGAACTTGTTTGTAGGGAACTGGTTACTCCACAGATTAAATAAAAAGTTAATAACTGTAGTGAATCACCTGTTTAACAACAGCTGGTGATGAAGTGATGCTCAGATGTCAGAGGGAGGATCAGGCTCATCCATTCGTTCAGTTATGGGCGTGCTGAAAAGTGTCGACTTCCTGAAAGGAGCTTTCACCGTCTGGACGGGTGTCACGCCCTGAAAACACAAAAAAATCCTAATTTATGACTTACATTTCTTTGCTTTTAATGGATTAAACTAAACAAACTAACAGAATAACACATGAGAATAGGTCACACAAGAACACAGAGCCTATAATCATCTTTATCTTGACCTTGTCTTCACAGTGCAACTCCTCTGAAAGCCACTTCTGCTGCATTTTCTTCCTACATGTTTCTTTCTAACTAAACATTCTTTTCAATAAGAGAAAAAAAAAACAAAGYTGTTCATCGTGAGGCAGGAAATCTCAGAGTTACTCTACAATAAACTATGAAAGTCTTTTGGCTCATGAGCCGATCAACAAACACGGTGAGCGACATTATTTCGTGCAGCTTTATTGCTTCAAACAAGAATTTAATTAAAACTGTAAAAATAAAAGAGAAAACTGGTCAAACTCAGCGTAAAATTAGAACGATTTGACACACCTGTATCCTCTGGTGGTTTTCACTCCAGAATGTTACGGCCTGGTCGGTTCTATAATCATGAGCCTGAAAAAAAAAAACAAAGTCTTAACTGAATTTAACCGTGGCTCAGATTTTCTTTCTCATGTTACTGCAAGGCAAGGCATTTAAGCACTGATGTTTTTGTCAATGACTATGTTTGTCTACCTTTTAGCAAATTATCTCAGGAACAAATAGACGGATTTTAATGAAACTTTCAAGAAATTATCAATGAAAATATCTCTACAACTGATTAACTTTTGAAGTGAATCCAGGTCAAGATGGCTGCTACAACAAGCTCAAAATACAAAAAACAAAAATGGCTACAATTAATTTCATTTAATAAATTTAGAGTTGCTGGTATGGTACGTATGGTATGATATGTTTCCAATGTTACGGTACGTTATGGTACGGTACGGTACGGTATGGTATGGTACGGTA